AAAAGTGACTGAAAATTGTCTGATAAGGCTAAGGTCGATTAAAGAATATTTCAAACCGCTTGCAGTATGGTACTGGAGACGCTGCTGGCTACTTCGGAAACGATACGGTACGACTGGGTGCCCCTGGAACGAAGCAGCTTGTGGTACCCGGGACCGTATTCGGTCAGGCATCAAAGATTGCCGACTTCTTCGCGGGGGTAAGGAGATTGTTCCGACGTCTAATGAGTAGCACCTCACCATTACTTTCCAGGATCCGATAAGTGGTATTCTCGGTATGGGCTTCAAACAACTTGCTGTCGAAGGTGTAAATCCACCATTTCAACGGGCCGTCGATCTCGGCCTGGTGGACAAGCCGATCTTCACCGTATTCCTGGAGCACAAAGGAGGTATTTAGCTTTATTCCTGAAAATTGAACGTTGAAGTAATGTTGAAAATTGTTGAAGTTGAAAACTATTAACCCGGACCTTAGGCAGTTGGGACGACGGCAGTTGATGATGAGACCAGGGCACGCCGATTCCATCTCTTCTGTACCCTGACGAGATACTGCTTCCTGATTTCCATCAGTGGCAGAGCAGCCTGTGCGGAAGGTAAGTAGGGAACTAGTGAGGAACTTCACCAGTTCCCTACTTACCTTCTGCATAAACTCACTAGGTGTTCAGAGTGTGTATTTAAGAGGGGCGGAATTATAAGTCTAGGATAAAGGGTATACAGTGTTGCGAAACTCTTACGTCCTAGGCTTTATTACCACAATTTTTTTTTCAGAACAAACTAATGTTCCTGGAGGAGTGTACACTTATGGTGGCATCGATTCAACTAATTGTGGGCCAGTAATCGATTATCAGCCATTGATTTCCGCCAATTACTGGCAGTTCAAGGTAGTTTGCAGCTTTCTTGGATTTTTCTAGCGTTTGAACATCTATCTGGTTAGAACAACCTTCAACAAATATTTTTCCCTGAACTGATGGTAGAGGAAGGGGTCCTCTTCCTTCAAATAGGCAGTTCACGGTGACCGTATGGGTGGTGTCAGACATGCTATTGAGCCTTACTCATTGAGGTCAAGGCACGTCCTGTCGTTGGGGAGAATTCCTGCAAAATACAAACTCTCAGAATTTTCTCTCCCAACGAGATCCTCCCCTCCGTGTCCACCTTTTCTGAGTTTTCCCAAGAGCTCTTCGTTTGTTTCCGAAGAAAATGCCGCCGGAAGGGTGGGGTGAGGAACGTAGCTCACGAGAAACGAGGAAAATCAGGAAAGTTGAACAACCGATAACATTTTCCTCAAAAGCAAGTACGACCCCCTCCCCTGGACTCCTCCCGAGACCAAATACGACCCTTCTCGCTCGAGAATCCCATGTACGACCTTCCCATCCGAAAAGCCCCTCTTTTCCATCGGCGGTAAGGAGTACGCTCATGAGAGAGGCAGAAGCATTGTGAGTCTCCGCCCACTTCTTCGCGCATGCGGTCATCGCGGAATGTGCCTTGAACCGAACACGGATTGTCACGGAATTATACGGACACGGATACCGAGTTTGGGCGCTGTTTGTCGACGGGGGGCATTTTGTATTATCATTGCTTCCCTAGTTCCGGTTTACAAATCTCACTCTGGTAAAACTTGTGAACTCTTGTGAAGCTGAAGTAAGATCGTCTAGCCACTATCCTAAAACGTGTCAACTCGAGAAACGGCTGCCTAGATGGGTCGACACATCTATGGAAAGCAAAATGCCCCCCCCCCGTCGACAAACTGCGCCCCGAGTCTGTAATTGCACCGTTTTCAGATGTCTGGTTTCGTTAGTGGAAAACTGACGTCAAGCAAAGGATGGCGAGTGATCTCCGATACAGGCACGTCATTGATCGCTGCACCTCGTGCATTCGCTGAACAAATCGCCAAAGTGAACGGTGCAGAGGTAGGGGCGTTTTTGAGAAAAGGAACTTTTAAAATTCAGCAATCAATCTTTTTACAGTACGATCCAGTCAATGATGTGTTCCGCATTGATTGCGGGAGTAAACCCGTCCTGGAGCTTCTCATTGGTAACAAGAAATATGCTATACAGCCCGAGAACCTGGTGGTACCCGCAGGCAAGGGCCGATGTCTTCTGGCCGTGTTTGGCATGCCAAGTCAAGGTTTTGGACCTGAGTGGATTCTTGGTGATCCATTCATTCGCCAATTCTGCAACATCTACGACGTCGGACAGAAACGCATCGGTTTCGCTAAATCAATTCCGAAATAATACACTCGCTAAAGACTTTTCCGCGCTGTTCGACTTGGGAGGGCCGTACTGCACTTTCGCCAGCTCCTCTTGTTATTTCATGTTAATTAAGAAGTTTTACTTTGTCGAGACTCGTAAAGTCTTGTGAAACTGCAAAATGTAGCAGATGAGCAACTTGGTTACAAGAATCACCAGGTGTTCATAAGATTCCTGTACAGCCTTTGCGGAGTACTATTTGTTGCCCCCACCAAGCCGAACTGCGTTTTTCATGTGATGAAGTCTTCTTTCACCTTTCTCTTTTCTCCACTTCGAGCTGTTCACGTCTCAGTGAACACTGAATGACCAAATTCCAGGCTCCTCATCGCCGAGATCAATTTTGTTATAAAATATTATGAAAATGCGTAATGTAATAAAGTCTTGGAATCTCTTTTTTATCCCTGGTAACAACAAGAATGCCGAAATGCTCAAAGGCTTCGCGATTACCGTTACTCAAAATAATATTCCACTTCATCATTTTGGGCGAAGCCACTGGTTCGTACCAGTCACCCCCCCCCCCCCGCTTGAATCGCTCCTCCTGATTGCGATGATATCTCAATGGCTACCTTCCAGTAAGAAACTAGGTGCGCCACACCAAACCACCTGAGTTTAGGATTGTCAGCGTGGACTGCGCCTATGGAACGAACCGTCAGAAGTGTCGCCCTTAGGTCTGCACTGTACTGCTACCGCCTCCTTCTTCGGTGCGTCATCGCGCCTACTCCGGGGCAGAGCGAAACCCACCGCGTAGTGTGGCGGAAAGTGCCGAAACATATCGTGGATCACTATCAAGCGAATTTTGCCTTTGCTCTGAGTCGAAAAGACTTCGTAGAAAAAATACTAACAAAAGACCACCAACTGAGCTATCAGAGAGTTTCCAGGAAAACAACCTGAGAAGACCTCAATAACACCATCCGCGGGTTTGATCAATACACTACTGAAACTGGACACTTACCACTGATAACAGTGAAAAGTACAATGCCTGCGGTTTTCGTTTTGATAAATCAATATGTTTACCCTAGTAAGGATTTGATCCTTTGATCTCAGCAGACAGACTTCATAGGAAAAACTCCATGTTAACAAAGGACCACCAACTGGTCCTATTAGCGCCACCAATTTGGCACCATACTTTGTTATTCCCCAAAATTCGACAAAGAGCGTAATAGGGTTGTTTGATGCCCGGTTCACGAATATGACATTTATTCTTTGACAACAGCGCCATTTAGCGCTCTGCTAAAGCTGAACCTGGGAGAAGAAGTGATTTTCATTTGGGCCAGGCCCAGCCATAGCAGAGCGCAAATTATCGTTGTGTCTCCATTAACGCCGGCGTCAATACGTAGTTTGCCTTTTCTATTTCGGGATCAGAAAACAAAAATAAATATTAATCATTGAAAATCGCTTTATTGTTTTCCAAAATATTCCCCATTGAGATATATACACTTTTGCGTGCGATTCTGGACAATTTGTCGAACAGCACTTTTGTGCCACTCTGCATTGAGCGGTATCTCCAAAACATGCATTGCTGAACGCATCAACCGCTTCTAACACAAATAGCGCTCCATTGGCTGTCAAAACGTTCTGAGTACGGATAACCTCAAAAATGTCAACACTGATAGAATGCTGTCAGTTAGCCAGATTGGCCAACACTGGCGGTTGCCGAATCCGCGAAATATAAAGAAGCCGCACCTGGATCATTTTTGCCTGTCGGTCTTCTGTGATATTGCTATGGCTCATGTAAAAGCTGAGGCAGTGGGCCCGAAATGTAATCCCAAAGTTTAGGTTGAACATGAAAAACTGGATGATTATTCTGGCTACGATTTTCCTCGGTGCATTGGCGGACGTGTACCAAGTGTTCCTCAGGCGAGTAGAGTCAAACCGGGAGAACAGACTTTCGAGTCTTGGACAGTGGCCTGGATGCATGAATCACGAACGGTACCAATCGAATAGATCATCTTCCGACAGAAGGTTTACCTGCGGTAAGTATTAGAAGAAACAGTGGGGGGTACTTTCTCCAGCGTAAGGAGAGCAATCAGGCCTCTTTTCAAAGCTGAGAGCGTGAATTCGTGTGGGAGTCATCCTTTTTCAGCGTAACGGGATATGACGATGGCCGAATAAGAATACACCATTGCGAATACCACCGGAACAGAGGTTCAGGAAGTCGAGTTATGAACATGCGAAGTTGTCTTCTGAACCGATGCAACCAAAACAGTAACAACGGCTGACCTCAAGTGGGGGGGGGAAGGGGTGGTAGGGAAAAAGTAGGAAAGTAGTGAAGCTACGAGAATGGATGGCAAAGACAGAGTGTGGAAAGAAAAACAGTTCAATTTCTGTTCTCAACCATTCTGCCGTTCAGCGCTCTAATCACATTGCATGTTGTTCGATGCGGATGCTGAACCGTTTCAGGGAAGCCATGTTGGGGAACGGTTCCAGCCCGTTGTTTCCATTAGGTGCGGCAGTCTTCCAACTTCCGTAACTGGTCCAGTTACCACAATTGTTGGATAGCGAAACCGCACTGAAACGCCACAGCATCCGCAGCGAGCAATGCTGTATTGTTCCGATACTTATAATTCTTGTTAGTCAGGTAATTATGGATACAGGATCTGCGGACTTCTATGTGCCCGATGTCTCCTGCAAGAAATATCAGCGAAATGTTTGCGAAAACTCAAAATGCACGCCGGGGTGTAAGCTGTTTTCACGAATATCATCTTGCGTTGCTCATTTTGAGAAGTACATTTTTCTCCTTCCTAGTTGATACGATAGAACCGTCTCCACTATTTTACTAATGACTTTCTGGGGTGTAAGCCCTCTTCAGGTCTACAGTATCGTGTACATTGCCTACACCTACATCATGTGCACCCCTTATCCCTGAGCCAGAGTAGGCGTGGCATTTGAACATGGCACGGAACTGGTTACTCGCGGAATATTCCAGTCTGGGGACAACTGTCATCTTGTTCTGTGTTTGGACAGAGACACGACAACAATTGTGTCAAGATGAAAATATCTCACCAGAAGCATAGACACCTTCAGGTTAAGTTGAAACATGCAGCCACGCCTACCCGATCTCAGGGATCTCGGGTATAACTACTACACATACACAACTATTAAAAATCCGAGGAGGAGAAAACGCAGTCAACAACAGGCCGGGGTTCCTACGCGGTAGAGGGCTGGGTTTGGAGTGGCGTTCTAGTAGTGTTGCTGCAAGATGATTCTTTCAGCGGCATTCGAAAGAGTAGTACTCAGACTTAGCCTATTTCTGAGATATGAGCTTCCAAAAACACCTGAGATTGATAAATTGGGCTCGAAGCCAGACATAGGGCTGAGTGCAAGTTATTTCTCGAATGTAGTATGTACTTGTTGATGCGGATCAAGTCAGAGGAAATCGATCTACACCAAAATAGCTCATTTTAGTGCTCTGCAAAGTATTCTGCCCGGATCAAGGATGTTGTCATAAGGAGGTTGAATCCGAAAAGGGCGCATGCAACAAGAAGAATTTGTTCAATGGTACGGCTTCAACCAGTTACGCTCGAAAACAGATGGAAAGTGGAACGTCAAGGTCAACTTCAACTTAAAGTTGTAGTGAATAAGATAAAAGTATCATGAGTAATATCATTTTCAGAGCCTTCAGTGGACGCTGATGGCTTTCTCCGGGAATGACACGCGTGCGCCCTTGCGTGCCGCCAGGCGCCCTTGGCGACAGCTCGGTGGCGGGGCGGGCGGGGCGTGCCGGGGGAAACCGGGCAACGAGCCGTGTATCCGGTGCGACTGCTGCCGGCGTGTTTGACGAAACTCCGACGCCGGTTCGTCGATGTGAGTTTATTCCGGAGCAGGGAACTTCCTTACACATTCGTTTGGACTGAACGTGCTGGTGTGTGCCGTTTCTGTTTTGGAGTGTCGAGCCAGTGCTTAATCTCGACAGATTTACAAATCAATTTAGTCGCAGATCGACGGCTTCTCGGTTTTGGCATTTCCGGAGGTCGCCTGTGAATCGCATCCAGTTATATGACCCCACCATTGAGTCGAGCTATTCATCTTCGTCTACTGGATGAAGCCACTGTTCACTGTCTATCTTGGAGCGGCTAACGATAAGTAACTTGATCGTGTTCTCTATTTCTCAAGGCTATCATGGGATTTTGCTTTCGAAGTTTGAAGGCACATTTTGAGATGACCTTGTGGGCAGAGTACCCTTTTCCCAGTGGCTATATCCCTACTCCTCATCCATCAATGTGAAGGGTTTGGTAATTCGAAACGATCTGCATGAAATATGCTTTTGATCCAAAAATGACCCCCCCCCAGCGCTACAGCAAAAAATGAGGCCCAGGAGTATAGAAGGGTGTTCGAAAGCTTAAACAGCCCTACATTAGCCGTTCAGCCTGCAGTTGTGTAACGCCGACATTGCTTTCGTGTTACACCACGTTTTTTCGCTGCTTAGTCGAGCGGGCTGGGAGAGCCCGTCGCAGCCATTGTCCAAATGCTGCATTGCTTCTTCAGCTGTGCGGAGAACGAACTATCACCGCGCCAATTCAGCCCTCTGACACGCCCTAGTATTCGCAAAGGACAAGACTGTAAGCCGTGGGTGTAGGTTCAGGGAACCCGCTTCAAATTTACTTCAAAACGGCTAATGCTGCCAACGCAGCAATTTCGCTGAGCACTTGTCTTTGATTAGAGGATGTTATGCTGCAGCGGGATCTTATAGTTTTTTGATGTTTATAAGATTGGATTTGAAGAACACCAAAAGCAGGGCATATAAAGGATACCCCAAAGGCCATATTTCATCGCGGTTCATAATGGCCAACTTTCCGAGGGCGCCCTAGCTGCTCCTCTTTGACTCAATAGTGAGCTTCTCCCTCCTACTCCTCGAGGAAAAGTGCGCTATGGGTCGAGAACAAATGCATGCTCGTTACCCGCCGACGCCAAATCAAAAGCTCTAGTTGCCTTTAACAGGCTACAGAGCTTATGTCTAATCTCACAACTACTTTTCTGCTACTCGT